TATAATTTTTAAAAATTAATGCGGAAACATATTTTTATTCATTTTTATCCATTTTGGTTGAATGATACCTATGGATCTTGGCATCTCTTTAGGAAATCACAACTCAAATTTGGATACATAATGAAAAATTGCAGGATATAAATTCTAAATAAATGATTACATTTTACTTAATTTTTATTCCTCTGTTTTCCATATGCTTGTCAAGGTCTGAGCTATTGATTATAGGTGTCACAGATATCAAATTCCACCGCCCAAAGTCTCCAAAGGATTATATGGCAATTGTTCTGATCCTTAGCCAATAGGTTTGAGCATCCTCAGAACAGGGATTATTTCTTAACTTAATCTTTGCATAACCAGCACCCTGGACAGTGCCAGACATAAAATAGGCACTTATCTATTTTGGAGCAGATGATACATGAATGATTTTGCCATGATAATATACTTATCTGATATATAGCTGGAGATTTGGTTCACCATGGCTTGAACTTCTTTTTTATTTTGCTACAATGATATTGCTTGTATGCAAACTACTACTAAATTGTTTCAACTTCATTTTAATGAGAGATGTTACACTTGGTAAATAAAATATTACACTAAAATTCATGTTATATAAAAAATTATTATTTCAAGGCATTGACCTCCTTTTAGATACAAAACCACAATATTAAATGTAAGAAATTTTAATTTTTAAAAATACCCTTTTAATTTAAAAAAAATTTAATTTTTAAAAATACTTTCTAAAGCAGTGTTTATTTTATTCTCATCTTTAAATTCACTAAGGAATTCTTAGAGGTAGGAGGAGACCTTCATGTTTTCCATCCCACTCCCCACTCCCCCCTGCAAAAAAAACAAAAAAACAAAAACAGGGTGGTAAAAGAGAATTTTCCAGTCAGATTCTTTTTAAATGTTATTGTTGTGGAACAGTATGGACCAGTGTACATCTTACAGGCATCAATTCTGAATCGCCCACCAGCCCAATTCCTTAAGCTCGTATCGTATAAACACACTCGTGATGATTCCTGTTACACACATGCACTACTATAAAGAGTACGGATCCTAGCAATTGGTGCTGAATTCACAGAGAAACGAGAGCTTGATAGAGAAGAAAATGTGCCGAGGGCAAACTCGGCTATAAACGCGCTCTGTAAACCGGTATTTGTTCTGTTTGCACTAAAGGAGTCGTGGCATCACAGGAACCCTTTGTCTGTGGGATGGTGGGTCTGGCAACCATGTCTACTCATAAAAACGACGTCTGCTGACTCCGCCCGGGCTGGGGGTGGGGACGTGCACCGCGTGGAGAGCTCGCCTGAGAATTAAAGTGAGCGAACAAAGAGAACTCCCCGCAGCCGCCCGCCAGCGCCTCGCAGCTGCATCGGGAGACAGTCACGCCCGGAAGGCTGTTCACATCCGTCTCCCGGCGAAAAGAATCCAGTGAATAATTGATGGAGATTGAGCGAGCCCAGGACAAAGCTTTGCAGAAAAACAGTGCATCGGATTTCGAGCTGTTTGGGAACCATCTGCCCAGTACGGGATACGGGAGTGCAGCAAGTACTTTGAGCCTGGCTACAGAGCTTCCATCTCGGGCGTGGCTGGGCCTTTTTGTCTTCTTGCCACCCCCACCCCTTCCCCCGTCCCCGCCTTCTTCTCCTTCCTCTGGAAAGTAGCCTCTCTTTGGTTACTTCTACTGTGTCCTCCCTTGCAATCCCGCCCCCTCCCTTGCCTAGCCGGTGAGGTCAGCTCATGAATATCATTGCGCTTCCTGGGGAGCGTCTGGCACGGCTTGGTACCTCCGCGGTCCCCTGCTCCGAGCCGCAGCTCCAGCCCGGCCGCGGACCGCCTGGAAGTAAGCCGCTCCGGGGGCCGCGGAGTCCACAGGTTAACGCCATTGTTTGGAGAAATCCAGTGGGTGTGGAACTGGGGCCGGTGGGCCCAAAGTCTTGCTTACCCAGAAAGTCGATATGATGCTACGAAGTTAAACGTTCCTGGTCTCTGGACAAAACAATAAACCCTGCGGTCGCTGGAAGATCAGAAGGAAAGCGCTGCTGATTTGCATCAACTTCCAACCATCTCCTCTGCTGAGAAGTGAGCGGTTCTCCTGGATTTCTAAATGGATGGGGATGAAAGACAGGGTAGGTTAACGGGTAGATAAAACTGCAGATTAAACGTGTTCCTTTGGGCTGTTCTGGGGTTGCTTGGTTGATCATTTCTGCGGGGAAGAGACACAGCATCTTGTCACTTGGGGCGAACCACGTGACAGCAGTCAGATACCTTTGCTTGTGGAAGCCCAGCTTTCTCCTGGGCTAGGCCTGTCTGGGGACCGAGTTTAGTGTTTCCCGGTGGCTCTCAGCTCCAGGATGATTCTGCCCAATTCAAAACAAAAATAAGTTTGCATTGGCAAAATAACTTGTTTGAGTGATCCACGTTAGTGTGACCCACACAGATGAACCAGGCCACACATTCCAGGAGTATGTGGCTCCAAGAGATCAGTAGAAAATAAGTTGGTGGACAGCTTTTACCCCCCTCCCCGAGTCTTCTTTGTTCACTTTTATTTTCCAAACTGAGTTGGAAGGAGATCCCGAGAAGAGAAAGGGAGTTGGAGAAGGCCCTCCAGTAATATTTCTTTATAACATGAGGATTTACTGCGTGTTGACTAAGTTATGCTTCTGAAAATAGACAATAATAAGAAAAATGCTAGTGAAGTAACTAGCAAGTATCTCGTCTCCTAACAGGAAGATTTTTCTAAAGCAGAACTTTCTGCCTCGTCATGCCCTTTACAGTGCTTTAGAGGAAAATTGTATTTCTAAGGAAAAGGCACCTAATTGACTAGCTGACTAGCTAGCTGGATCACTAGGGAGAACCCAGGAGGCAATGGTTTGCTATTTTCCAGATTTTAAATACCATGGACGGCTTCTTCTTTGAAAAAATACACAATAGAAATTGGTCTTATCACCATGAGTTAGGATGCAGCAGCCTTCTGGGTGCAGAGCGAGGATGCAGCAGCCTTATTGGTTGCAGGGTCATCCTGTCTCAGAATTTGGCTCCATAGGAGGGACTGGGCACTGGAAAAATATTACTCTGCCTATGATATATCATCTGAGAAGATGCTTAAGAATAAAAATATTTTCTACCTAGCAATTACACTTAAACATAAAAAAATTCACAAAACTATGAAATGTGGATAAGTGTAGAAAAAGTCATCACCTGTATTTTAAAGAAATTTTGCACATCTGTCAATAAACTTTTCTAAAAGTTTTTAAAAATTATTTCCCAACGCTTAAAAAGTAAAATCCTTTCAGAACTGCTAATGACTAAACTACATAGATGATTTCTAGTGCCATTATTTTCTTGAAAATGAAATTGATTTTTTAAATATATATATATTATAGTAAAAAGGAAGTTGGGTGCGTATTTCCAATTAAGAACATTGAGAAAAGTATCATTTATCCCTAGGAAATTTTCTTCAGGAGCCTCCTTCATAACCCTTTTCCTGCAATTGACACTGGGAATATTAATTATACAGAACCCTCTCTACTAAAGTATGCTATAAATTGCAGTTTTGAGGTGAGAAAAACCAAAGTTTAAAAATTAGGGTATTTATAACTCTAGTTGACATCTCCTTTTCCTCTGAAACTTCTTCTGGACTTTACCCTCTTTTTTAAAAAAATATCTTCCTTGCCCTCCATTCCTTTTCTGGCTCCATGTCTCACCCTTGCCAAAACATGCTACTTTGAGAATGTAAGGTTCAACTGCTTTCACATCGCCATCATTTTAATGGAATGGGTTGGAGATAGCGCCTCCCTTGGCAAAACGAGAATGGACAATTCTGCATCTTACTCCTAAAGTCAAGGCCTCTATTAAGCACCTTCCAAACCTCATTTTCAAGGACTTTTCTTGCATTGCTCTGTAACAATGCAGACAGCTTGTATGTTTCCTTCTTTTGTTTCTGTTCCAGATTAGAAAGGAAGTTTGGTGGCGGTGAGGAGGGAAGAGAGTGATCTGGCGATGGACCACTCTAAATCGCATCCAGTAGATTCTTCCTAGACAGCCATGAGTCAGCCACCGACCGAGAGCGCTGCCCCTGCCACAGCCGCAGCTTCCGCTGCCACCGCCGTCACCGAGGCTCGCCTGCACCCGGAGGGCAGCAGCAGAAAGCAGCAGCGAGCTCAATCACCCGCTAGACTGAGAGACAACACGGTCCGACAGACCACAGCAGCTACCCGGTCCCCGGTGAGAGCAGACACTAAACTCAATTCTGTTCGGCAGCAGCAATTGCAGCAGCAACAGCAGCAGCAGCAGCAGCAGCAGGGCAACAAGACCGCGGGCCGCGCGGTGCCTGGGGCCTGCAGCCGAGGAAGCGCAGGCGGAGGCGGGGCGGAGAAGGCGGCGCCCCCGGCTCCAAAGGGGCCGTGCCCGGAGCTGTCCAGCCCGCGGCTGGTGCTGAAGCGGCCACCGCGGCAACCCTGGCCTGGTGGCGGCCG